TCTTCGTCGGACGCGGTGAGCTGTTCCGTCGTCGTCGTCAGAAGATGCTTTTCTTTCTGCTCCTCCCACTTCTGAACAACGCGAAACGACAGAGAACGTACGTCACATGATCATTGCTTCGAACTCCGTTCGGAACATCGTCACATGAAGAAAGCTCTTTCCCATCAGGCCTGTTACTCACATTTCTGCATCTCCATAATCCGCTACCGATCACGTTATCTTGGTTTCTACTTGAAATATCCCCAATAAGATACCCTTCCTCTATCTACTACACCTTCCCCTACTAAGACTTTTTTCCCTCTGATTCAAGCAATCTCCATATTCTATAGCCGTCTTCGCGTCCGCGTCTTCCGCGATCTCTGCTCTCTGAGAGGATACTCTGGTGCCAGTCGGTGTTTGTTTGCTTTTCAGTTGCAGACAGCCGTTGGCGGTTTTTTTCTACTGCATGGGGAGGGCACTGGCCAGCACCACGGGGCGAAATATTGCACGACGAGCCGAGAGTAACGAGGTGGGCTGTGAGCAAGAGAGCATACGAGCTCGCGAGAGCTGCACACTGCTCATTACGTGGTTGTTTTCGCATGGGACACACTCACTAGCACAACCACGCGAACTGACCACTGGTCGAATTATAGCGCTGAACGAGAGCATAGTACTTCCTCAGACGTTTCTACGATGAGCTCGAACCCTGGAGCCCTCGTTGCTCTTGAAACCTCCTTGGAGAGCGAGCTCAGGTCTTTTAAATAGGCACAGCGCTAAGGTAGACGTTTTTTTACGTTTTGAGATACTTTTTCCAAGTTCTCTGGAACTTTGCACCTTCTTTTGCTATGACTTCCTGGAGCACCCCCTCAAAGAAGACCATTCCTCTAGAAAATTCATTTAAAGCCTTATTTTCGATAGCATATGAATCATCAAAATCGAAATACAAAATAGTGTTTCTATATTCTATGTTCTGTATTACATTCCATGTCCTAGAGATGGAAAGTCCGTGACTGCGTACTCCATTCAAACATGGCGGAGCTGCGCTCCTGCTGGGAGATGGTACATTCAGAACAGTTGCAACCATGAGTTTCCAGTGCAAGACAACACTTATTCCAAATGGAAATACCTCACGAACAGGGCATCCTACGCCATGTTCAAGTAATGCACGCAGTCCAGTCGGTCGCTGGGATGTGCAGTTATATGGTGGCAAGAGTAAATCTTTCCCAGGAAAATGCAAGAGAACTTGTGAATCTCTTAGCATTTCCCAGCTGGCCCACTCTTTCAGTTATTTCACCCTAGAAAGAATCAGTCTTTTCTAGCTCTTGATACAGCACTATATTGCGGACGTATAGTTTTACTCATCACGTTAAGGCGAATGCTGACTAATTCCAGTTATGTAGCGACTTGGGATGGCGTACTCTCGAGCCAGCAGCGATGTCTTTTCCTAGCTCTTGATACAGCACTTTGTCGCGGACGTAGCTTTTTACTCATCACCTCAAGGCGAACGCTGACTAATTCCAGTTATGTAGCGACTTGGGATGGCGTACTCTCGACCAGCAGCGATGAATTTTCCTTCCCATCCTGGTCGTCACAGCATCGTAGACCTTCGGATGACGTGGTCATCGTCCATCTCTCGCCTTCAGCCATCATCGGCTGCGTTCAGCGATCACGGAAGATGTTTACGTTCGTATTTTCATCGTATACATGTGGAGGCCGTCGACAGATCCTACTAGCGCGTTGTTGTTGTTTTCTGATGGCGTGCAGGGCAACGCGTGCCAGTCCGCACCCGAACACCAAAAAACGCGATGATGTTGAGCGCGCACGACAAATACCCTCGGGCGCATGCGGTGCACAGAACTGACCGATGGTCAGCAGCACATCCTGGGCCCTAGGCGAGCTGTTTCGCGCAGATATTGCAAATGAGCTACACTTTTGAAGATGCCCTCGTCTTGGTTGCGGTCTTTGGGTACAGGAGAAAACTGATGGTTTGAGAAATAAATTTCCCTGAGGTGTCAAGACTGAACTGGTTTCCATCCAAGCCTAAGCAGCTCAGTACGTCGATGCTATGCGGGTCAGCGGTAAACAGTACTCAGGACCAGAAGCTCTTCCCGCTTCTCTTTCAACTTTTAGACATTCTAGAGGCATATGGGAACGGAAGAGAACTACTGACCATGCAGTCCTACCAGATATCCTGCGGTTGAACCAGCAACGAGCGTTACTTGGCGAGGCTGATTATTAATAATATTCATGTCTCAGCTGCTGCCAGGGGAAGGCACATACCCAATATTCCCGGTCGAGTTGGCACCATTCAGTCACCTCACCTTTCATGAACACCAGTGGCTGACCCATGTAAAAAAATAACTGGGCTTTTGATGCGGCGCAGTCGCAGCCTTATTCCAAGCATGACGTCCCTAAGTCCCCGCAATTGGCGAGAAATTTGCCGTGGCTGCGTTCCAAGTCTCGCCGTCGTCCTACCCCTTGTCGCATTCAGGAATCACGACTATATCTGACGTGAACGAGGCGGAACAAAAGCCTGTCCTTTCATGTTCTCAGACTTCGACGCCATAGGGCTAGAAAGCTTAATGGACCTATGCAGGAGTCGAGCCAAGATTTCTTTCGCGAGCTGTGGTAGTGGCAGATCTCTACCTCAGAGAGGCGGTTGTATCTCTGATGAAGTCTGATCGAGCTATTTCTCGCCCCCAATATCGTTCCCTCGCTGTGATGAAAGCTGCTGGTTATTTGCGAACGATGTCAAGCACGTGTGTATACAGTGGTCTGACTCATCACTACATCGCATGAATCTGATGATATTGTTCTACTTTTTCAGCTCGAATACGTGGTCAGTAGGGGGTTTTGCAGAGAGCGTTGTGTGCTCCTTAAACCGATAATCCGATGACCAGATCCCATTTGCAAATTAGTGTTTTTCGATGCCATGCACAAGGACGAAAACACGCCACTGACCAACAATCGAGTAGCACGATGACAACTAGTCCCTCACTGCAGCAAGCGGACGAGAATGCCTAGAGATTTGATTTCTGATTTGGTAGATGCGCTTTTCAAGTCGAATTGCGTCTTCGTAAGAGTTCCAGTGGGTTGTTGCGAAAAGAACCCTTCAAGAGCGGAAAGTCAGTAGCAGAAAGAACCCTTTGTTCTTCTGAAGGATACTGTAAGTTACGACCGTTATCTTCGAGGACATCCTGGATAGGTGGTGATGGGTCTGACTGCAACTCGAGGCTTATTGGTGCTTCCGTGTATGAGCCTTTCCGAGACGTTTGGGGACAGACTCTGCGCTTAAGGGAATCGTAGAATTCCTTCCTGGTCCAAATGATCCTGTGCGTGATCGTGAAGATTGTCCCACCTTTGCTGGTCTTCAAAGACGGCGCTGCAGCAGTTGCATACGGTATAGTGTAGGGTATACCGTACATAACTTCAAGTTATGATGGCCGCAGCGCCCTCGTCGCTCATGGTGGAGCCACGGAAGTGGAACAGTCCGTCTTTGAACGATTAGCGAACAAGTCTTTAATTAGTTCCACACATATTTTGGATGGTCGCCAACATCGGCAACCTAGCATGCCGATGCCGAGTTTTCGGGAAAAACGCCCCCTCCATTATCTCTCTCCTCTCTTTACAAAACTGTCGAGCAGGGAGCGCATTACATTGCCTGTCAAATGAATAATTATAGAGCAGTAAAATCTCGTCATTGAAAGCCGGCAACGATGATGTGTTCCCTAAGTTGGTTCACTGTATCCCTCCATGGAGATGAAAACCATGGAATCATCTCTTGGTCTAGCAAGACAACTATTATCCCCACATCCTCCTCTTTAGCCAAATGTATGAGAGTCGATCGACCGTATGAAGCTATTGATCAGTCCGAATTTTTTCGTGTTTTTTTTTTGTTTTTATCGTCGATAAAATTTCATTTTCATGAAACATCCACATACTATACATCTGACTGCTCTATTGTAGTGTGGTTGCAGTCTGTTCTTTGGGTTTCCTGTTTTGTAGAAATGCTTTTGTCAAGTTTCATGAAAGGTAAGCGCCTTCACTCCCTTCTCGTTCAAGCGCTACCGTATCTCTGGCTACCGCAATCGCCTCACTCTGTCTGCATCTCCGTGCTTCGTCACTCTCTCGTCGTCGCTGACCACTGCATGTTCTCTGGTCGGCAGCTACGACGTCAAACAACTTCCTCATGCTCATTCGGGTGAACTGATAAATCCGCGCTACTACGGAAATTGAATAGCCCACCAATCTCCAGTCGTAACTAGGGCACATCAAGGGGATTCTCAGCAGGACGGGGGTCGAATTCGGTCACCTAGGAGAGGGGAGCGTATTCGTTCTGAGAAAATACTTTTGATAGTTGGTTTTTCTTCTTTCACGGATGCTATGAAGGGATGAGATCGTATTTGCTTGTTGTTGGGAGAGACTAGGGTATAGTTATTGCCTTCTGCGAGAAATTTGCGACGCTGGGAAGATATTCCCGGTTTTCCCATTTTACACGTGCTGCTATGTATCCCTCCACAGCTCGGTCGTATCAGAGGAGGGAAAGGAGGGTACTTGTGGGGAGGGGTCGTATCAAGCTAGCTTTTTGACCAAAATCTCCAGCTGATGATGTGTCCTGATTGTAATAACATCTAAGAAGGGTGGAACGCAGGAGTTCCATTACAAGTTGGTAATAACGTAAAAGTTGTTAAGGATGTGAAGTAAGGTTCTATTTATAGACTCCTGTGGACATTTCGAAATTCAGCTCGCTAAATTAGGAGAGCTTTCAGCCTTCTCTCAGCTCCCTCCTTTTACATAATTATGAACCAGTAAAGCCACAGCTACATGCAGCATGAACTCTGATTTTGAAAAGGGTTATCAATATCTGCAACACCCTTTCTGACCCGTTCCTTACTTCACCTTATTTTTCCTGAATTCCCAGCTTCTCATGTGAACCCGCACTTTCAGGAATTCCTCGTTTGTTTACTTCTCATCAGTCAATCGCTTTTGCTACCGTATTGTTTCGTGTTAGTTCAACCTAAATGAGTCACAGTAATCGGGAAGTTCCAGATTTGGAATCAATTATCGAAAAAACCAAAGCAGCTCAAATCAGCGAAATGGTGGACGTGGAAAACACGCCGCCATACGATGTGCTGATGAAGCTGAAGGAGGGTGCACAAGAAGAGGATTTGGATCGAGACGAATATGACGAAGAGTGCGCCGATGATGACGAAGCACTTCGTATGGCTCTCGAGAATGGAGAGGACGAAGAGATGCTTGACGTTGAATCGCCAGACATCGACGAATTGGTAGGCCAGACGTCTTTGTCGCGATTCACGCGCTTCATGAATTTGTGTGGTTTTACAGGATGGCAGCGAAACGTCGTCTTCAGCGCTTGCAGAATCGCCTCAAGGGGCCAGCACGTCACCCGAGAATGTCGCCACCATCATGCTCGTGGGCGATACGCCACAGACATCAACTGCTGAGGTAAGAGACAGAGCACAGCAGACTTTAATGAACTACAGGGGTGATGGCCAGAAAGACCTCCTGCTCAGGTATCATAAAAGCTCGAGTGACTGGGTAGGATGGCACTCCAGTTCTTTTCTGGCATTCCTCTCTTTCCTGTTGTCTTTAGAATCGGTTAAATAAACCTAAGTGGGAGCGCAGGCCCACTGAAGGGGTCGATTCACGAAAGACAAGTCCTTAACCTTGACAACGCTGTCCAATCAGCCGAACGGCTGCTGCTCTCTACCGTCAGAGCTGGAGTCTTCTGTAGCCTGAGAGCGGTAGCCTGCTGAGAATCGCACAGCTGCTTCAGGCTTAGACCTAGACCCTGTGGACCTTTGTGAGACTTCGGCAATAATGCATGGAATTGCCTTCTTGCTATAGTCCCTCGTAGAACACCCTCCAAGGCATTGTAACAATGCAAGGCAATCGTTCTATGTGTTCAGGAAAGATTCTGCATTTAAGATCTCCTTTCTGCATTTTCCCATGGCGACCGCTTATACATAGGGACTCAGAAGTCACCACCTTTTAATCTGAAAATAGCTCTTTTGCTTGCTAAACGTTTTTGTACCGTACTATACAACACTGTTCCAATCGTGTCGGTTTAAGGTTGTGGTTCTTGGCACTGTGCTGGGAGCGCCTAATTCTGGGAATCACGTCGAAAAGAGACACATCTGCGACATCTGTGGAAAGGTAGGTGATGTTACCGCTATTGTTTTATTCCTTC